TCCTCCTGCTTAGATAGTAAATTAAATTTTGCCCTGTGAGTGGACACACCGCCATAGCAGCATGTACAACACTCCCCAATAGGAAGAAAACCCGCTGGGTTGTTCATCCTGTTGTTTAGATAGTACTTTGTGTACCTTTGTGGACCATCGCACGTAATTGACAATTTGATAGTAGAATTTAGTACTATTCAGTTTATAGCGAGTCCTTTAAAAATAAAGCTACAAACCCAATTTCAATATTCCAAGGCCTAATATAGCACATATATGTGCTATATTAGCACATATAGGCCTAGGAAGGGTTATATACGCCTCTCTTCCTATATAGGCCTAGGAAGGTTAGGTTAAGGTTAGGCCATGCTCTGGACCTCCGCTGGAGGCTATATAGACGGTTAGATAGACATAGGAGATATAGTCGTTTAGATAGACATAGGAGATATAGTCGTTTAGATAGACATAGGAGATATAGTCGTTTAGATAGACATAGGAGATATAGTCGTTTAGATAGACATAGGAGATATAGTCGTTTAGATAGACATAGGCGATATAGTCGTTTAGATAGACATAGGAGATATAGTCGTTTAGATAGACATAGGAGATATAGTCGTTTAGATAGACATAGGAGATATAGTCGTTTAGATAGACATAGGAGATATAGTCGTTTAGATAGACATAGGAGATATAGTCGTTTAGATAGACATAGGAGATATAGTCGTTTAGATAGACATAGGAGATATAGCCGTTTAGATAGACATAGGAGATATAGCCGTTTAGATAGACATAGGAGATATAGTCGTTTAGATAGACATAGGCGATATAGTCGTTTAGATAGACATAGGAGATATAGTCGTTTAGATAGACATAGGAGATATAGTCGTTTTAGATAGACATAGGAGATATAGTCGTTTAGATAGACATAGGAGATATAGCCGTTTAGATAGACATAGGAGATATAGTCGTTTAGATAGACATAGGCGATATAGTCGTTTAGATAGACATAGGCGATATAGTCGTTTAGATAGACATAGGAGATATAGTCGTTTAGATAGACATAGGAGATATAGTCGTTTAGATAGACATAGGAGATATAGTCGTTTAGATAGACATAGGAGATATAGTCGTTTAGATAGACATAGGAGATATAGTCGTTTAGATATAGATAGTTTCCTCCACCAACATCTAAGAAACCGCTTGCACTCTTGACACTTCTCTGGCGGTTTATATAACCTCTATATAAACATTTATATATATAACATATATGTTGTTTATATAAACAACTATAACGGTTTATTTTGTAATATTGTTCAACTCTAATTGCTTTTATAATTCATATACAATAGATGAAATGGGATTATAGCGGGTTTTCTTCCTATTGGGGAGTGTTGTACATTCTGCTATGGCGGTGTGTTCACTCACAGGATGAGTGACGCTGCCCAATACTGTCACTATGGCGGTGTGTCCACTCACAGGATGAGTGGCGCTGCCCAATACTGTCACTATGGCGGTATGTTCACTCACAGGATGAGTGGCGCTGCCCAATACTGTCACTATGGCGGTATGTTCACTCACAGGATGAGTGGCGCTGCCCAATACTGTCACTATGGCGGTATGTTCACTCACAGGATGAGTGGCGCTGCCCAATACTGTCACTATGGCGGTATGTTCACTCACAGGATGAGTGGCGCTGCCCAATACTGTCACTATGGCGGTGTGTCCACTCACAAGATGATGAGTGGCGCTGCCCAATACTGTCACTATGGCGGTGTGTCCACTCACAGGATGAGTGGCGCTGCCCAATACTGTCACTATGGCGGTGTGTCCACTCACAGGATGAGTGGCGCTGCCCAATACTGTCACTATGGCGGTGTGTCCACTCACAGGATGAGTGACGCTGCCCAATACTGTCACTATGGCGGTGTGTCCACTCACAGGATGAGTGGCGCTGCCCAATACTGTCACTATGGCGGTGTGTCCACTCACAGGATGAGTGTCGCTGCCCAATACTGTCACTATGGCGGTGTGTCCACTCACAGGATGAGTGGCGCTGCCCAATACTGTCACTATGGCGGTGTGTCCACTCACAGGATGAGTGGCGCTGCCCAATACTGTCACTATGGCGGTGTGTCCACTCACAGGATGAGTGGCGCTGCCCAATACTGTCACTATGGCGGTGTGTCCACTCACAAGATGAGTGGCGCTGCCCAATACTGTCACTATGGCGGTGTGTCCACTCACAGGATGAGTGGCGCTGCCCAATACTGTCACTATGGCGGTGTGTGAGTCACTCACAAGATGAGTGGCGCTGCCCAATACTGTCACTATGGCGGTGTGTCCACTCACAAGATGAGTGGCGCTGCCCAATACTGTCACTATGGCGGTGTGTCCACTCACAGGATGAGTGGCGCTGCCCAATACTGTCACTATGGCGGTGTGTCCACTCACAGGATGAGTGGCGCTGCCCAATACTGTCACTATGGCGGTGTGTCCACTCACAGGATGAGTGGCGCTGCCCAATACTGTCACTCATGGCGGCTGTGTCCCATGGCGGTGTGTCTCACAAGATGAGTGGCGCTGCCCAATACTGTCACTATGGCGGTGTGTCCACTCACAAGATGAGTGGCGCTGCCCAATAAACTCGCCCCTCGGGGCAAAATTAAAAAAAATTTAAATTTAACAGCGTGTGACATTAAGTGAACCTCGCGTTGCTGTCTACACCACACTCCCTCGAACAGTCTGATGGGAGGGGAATGATGCCGGATAAGGCAACAGGAATAATGTGGGAGTTACGGGGCTCACCATAGCCCGTGCTACATGGGACACTTCGTTCTGAGTAGCTCAATCTGAAGCGACAGCGTGGGAGTGGTGGGGAGCAGGAATTGCGTGGGAGGAAGGTGGAAATATTGATGTGGGCGTTGTTTGTAGGGGAGAGGAGGAGGGGGTGGGGAAAAGGAGCAGGGGGTGGGGGGGGGAGATGAGCAGGGGGCAGGGAAAAGGCGCAGGGGCGGGGGGGAGATGGGCAGGGGCGGGGAGATGGGCAGGGGGCGGGAGAAGGAGCAGGGGGGCGGGGGGGGGGAGATGAGCAGGGGGCAGGGAAAAGGCGCAGGGGGGGGGGGAGATGGGCAGGGGGGGGAGATGGGCAGGGGGCAGGGAAAAGGAGCAGGGGGTGGGGGGGGGAGGATGGGCAGGGGGCAGGGAAAAGGAGCAGGGGGCGGGGAAAAGGAGCAGGGGGGCGGGGGAAATGAAGATCATTGGTGGGGGAGAAGGAGCGGGAAAAAAATATTAGATTATCGAGGGGGGGGGGGGGGAGGGGACTTTTTGTCCAATGGAATATGGGCCAACTAAGGATTCTTAAATTAGATCAGGGACTTAAGTCCACCTGGTGTCACCTAGGTTGGGTGACTTTTCCGTCTCTCTCCCTCTTCCGTCTCTCTCCCTCTTCCGTCTCTCTCCCTCTTCCCTATTATCATCACCACCTTCCCTGTTTCTCTTTCTGTCCTGTGAGGTTTCTTCTTTCGTGGGGTCGTCCGTTTTCTTTGTGTCTCTCTTTAACGTTGGTTCTTTCTATTTGGTTTTTCTCTCTCTCTTCTTCCCCCCCCCCCCTTCCTTTTGTGTCTTAGTCGTCTCTTTAGTTGTGTTCCTCCACTCCTTTTGTGGACTTTGCCATCGCTCTCCTCTGAAAGCCCCCCTCCTCCCTCCTCCCTCCCCCCTAAGTCTCCCCCCCTCTCTCCCCTCTACTCCCCTCTCCCCCCTCTCTCTCTCTCCCTCCTCTCTTCTCTCTCTCTCCCCCTCTCTCTCTTCCCCCTCTCTCTTCCCCCTCTCTCTTTCCCCCTCCCCCTCCCCTCCCCCTCTCTTCCCTCCCTCCCTTGCTCCACTTCCCACAAAACCTCTACTCTTTTCCGTTGTCCCCCTCTCCTCCTCTCTTCCATTGCTCCCCTCTCTTCTCTTCACCCCCCTTCCCCCTCTCCCGCTCTTCCCCTCACCGTCCACCACTCTCAGTTCCTCACCTGTCAGCTTAACATCACGGCCAGCTGTCACCGGGGATATTAAACACGAAATGACGGAGGAAACATGTTCTCACAATTCGGCTCATAAGTTACAGGTATCATATTGAAGCATCATGTGTCCGACTTCGATTTTGGTTGGTGACGCCGGACGCGGCTAGTTTTATTGTGCACCCCATACTCATCATGTGAGCGGTAGCGCAAAAAAAAAGTATTACAGAGGGTACAAATGGTCTTTTGTCAGGCCTCATCTTAAATTATTACATAAATCATTTCATCTATCGTTCACACTTTATAGTTACATGTCGGCTAGTTACAGAGAATTCCGGATTCGAGGCGTGCCACAGAGAGAGAGGGAGAGAGGGAGAGGAGAGAGAGAGGGAGAGAGAGGGAGAGAGGAGAGAGAGAGAGAGGGAGAGGGAGAGAGGGAGAGGGAGAGGGAGGGAGAGAGAGGGAGAGGGAGGGAGAGAGAGGGAGAGGGAGGGGGAGGGAGAGAGAGGGAGGGGGAGAGAGGGAGAGAGAGGGAGAGGGGAGAGAGAGGGAGAGAGAGGGAGAGAGGAGGGAGGGGAGAGAGAGGAGAGGAGAGGGAGGGGAGGGAGAGAGGGAGAGAGAGGGAGAGAGAGAGAGGGAGAGAGAGAGGAGGGAGGGAGAGAGGGAGAGAGAGAGGAGAGGGAGAGAGAGAGAGAGAGAGAGGGAGAGGGAGAGAGAGGGGGAGAGGGAGAGAGAGGGGAGAGGGAGAGAGAGGGGGGAGGGAGAGAGGAGGGGGAGGGGGAGAGAGAGGGGGAGGGGGGGGAGAGAGGGAGAGAGAGGGGGGAGAGGAGAGGGGGAGAGTGAGAGAGACAGACAGACACACACAGACAGAGCTAGCTAAGATGAGATCCAGCACCGACAGACAGACAGACGGAGGGACCCACCCTGAAAATCATTGTTGCGTTGACTCACTTCCTAGCGGCCGACGACACCAGCTTCCGGAGACGTTGCGTGAAGGACTCCTCAGAGTAGAGGCGGATGGATGAGCACAAGCGCTCTGACTGGTGTCGCGAATGGTCCTCTCTCTCTCTCTCACCCTCTCCCTAACTCACGTGGATTTGTTACGTTGGAGTGATTGATGTTGAGTGATACATTCGCAAGCTGTCCATCAAGGGTTTCCAGTTTGGCAGCGAAGGCCGTAGACCTGTCAACAGCGGCGATCGTATTCTATCAACTTTCCAGGGAAGTCGCTGGATCAACTGCTACTGCCTCTTCTGCCTTGTGAGTTAATGGTTTTGTCTCTTGATTTGCTAATCTGATGGCTTGGCTGCTCTGCTTCATCAGTTATGCAGGTGCTCTGCTGTGTTGTTGATTTATGTGCTCTGCTGCCCTCTTTTGTGCGCTGCGGGTGATGTGTGCTCTGTTGGTCTCGTGATTTACGTGTTCTCTTGCCCCTGAAGATGAGGATGTTAAAGATTCAGCTACTGGAAACAAACAGTTCCAAGTAGCACGGGCTATGGTGAGCCCGTAGTGGACTTAACTGGCACGGGCTATGGTGAGCCCGTAGTGGACTTAACTGGCACGGGCTATGGTGAGCCCGTAGTGGACTTAACTGGCACAGGAGCTGGGCTGTAATTGCCCTGATGACTGACGTGTTCATTTTATCTTGGTGACGTGAGCTTTACTGACATGCTGTTCCGTTCTCATGGTGTCTTAAAACAATGGTATCTTGGTGACTTATTTCTCCGCTAGCATGGTGACTCGCTTGATTCTGTAGCCTACCTGTTGTTAGTTTCTGGGATTGATGTCCCTGCGGCCCAGTCTCTGACCAAGTGTCTGTCAAGATCAGGGCTGGCGCTGTGGATGGTCTTGATGCTGCTGGAGTGGATGACGAGGCGGCCACACAAGGCCTCGTTCCAGGAAGCGCCCTTCTTAAGATTCCGTTCCAGAACACACCTCCCCCAACCTCCCAAGAGACATTCTTTCTCCAGATTTCGATCGAGGATAGAGGCTTTCCCAAGCTCCGTATTAGGCGTGAGGTTCCCCGTGTGGTGTTCCAGCAGAGAGTCCGTTCCAGCAGAGAGTCCATTCCAGCAGAGAGTCCGTTCCAGCAGAGAGTCCGTTCCAGTAGAGAGTCCATTCCAGCAGAGACTGTTTACTTGGAGTTCATCCTTTGGGGAAGGTAGCAAACACAATTCTAATTATCAGTGAACATTGCACGTGTATTATACTGTTCCGTGTGTGTGTGTGTGTGTGTGTGTGTGTGTGTGTGTGTGTGTGTGTGTGTGTGTGTGTGTGTGTGTGTGTGTGTGTGTGTGTGTGTGTGTGTGTGTACTCAACTATTTGTGCTTCCGGGGGGGGGGGGGTTGAGCTCTGGCTCTTTGGTCCCGCCTCTCAACCGTCAATCAACTGGTGTACAGGTTCCTGAGATTCTCAAGCTCTATCATATCTACACTTGAAACTGCGTATGGAGTCAGCCTCCACCACATCACTGCCTAGTGCATTCCATTTACTAATTACGCTGACACTGAAAAAGTTCTTTCAATTGTCTAAGGGAGGGAGGGAGGGAGGGAGGGAGGGAGGGAGGGTGTAAGAGAGTGAGAGGGCGCTGGCTGAACCATTAATAACTTGAGAAAGAGTGACCAGCTCCTCAAGGAGGGAAGACTACCACCACCACAGCGGCCAGAGGTGCTGACAGTGACAGGTCGTCTTGAATGCGGGAGAGAGCCACGATGGGTGGTTGAAGGGTGGTAGGTGGGTGACGGAGGGTCGTTAATGTGGCGGGGAGGGGTCGTATGGTTGGAGGTGGGCTAGGAGAGTGGGGAGAGAGGGAGACAAAGATGGTGTCACAAGAGATGTGGTGCTGAAGATCAATAGGAGACATGTGCATTGCAGAAACATAACAATCTACTTTAATTAAATACAATACAATACAATTTTATACAATACAATTTTATTTAGGTAAGGTACATACATACAATAAATATTTAAAAGGACAAAAGGGCATTTTCCCTCCAATTAGATGGACTGGTTTCGTCGTAGGCACTTCACTCCAGCTCTATCCACATTGTGTGTGGATACTCCTGCCCCCCCCCCTCCCTCCCTCTCTCCCCTCTTATATGTGAACACCCCTAACCTAATCGCCCCCTTATAGGTAGGACCACAAAGAGATCTACCTGTACCCCCGTCTGTAGTACCCCCAACAACACATTTACCACTACCACCCCCGGTGTAGCTACCACCACCACCACGGCCCCTCTCCCTGTCAATACCAGGGTGTGGTGGCCCTCAGGGGGTCCTAACGACCCTAGGGCCCCTCGCTGCCTTTGTTGTGGTGAGACGTCACAGTGTCCAGCCCTGACTCGGTTAACGAAGACCCCCCCCCCCCCACACGAACCAAACAAGCCTATAGGCCTAAGGAAATTCATTGGAAAACGCACAACCTACTCAAAACCACAATTGTCTCATTTTGCTCACGTGGCTACAGAGACGGGAGAACGCTCCGCATAAGTTGTGGTTAGTGTGTGTGTGTGTGTGTGTGTGTGTGTGTGTGTGTGTGTGTGTGTGTGTGTGTGTGTGTGTGTGTGTGTGTGTGTTTGGGGGCTGGTGGTTCAGGATGTAAGGGGGGGGGGTAGGGGGGGGTTGTGGTCAGTGTCGGCAGACTGTGGTTGGTTGGTTGCTTGCTAGTGTGAAGTCACACCCCAAAATACTGTCTCTCGGAGGATACATGCGCAGGCCAAGTCAAACTTTAGGGAAAAGTTATTTTGCTTTTTACGTGGATCAAGTTTTAGTTCTGGCGGAGGTGGGAGAACAGGTTCAGTTCTGGTGGACGAGGAAGAACAGGGTCAGGTTCAGTACAAGCTCTGATTGGTTACTTTGTTTATATAGGGGGAGGGGTATTTTTCTCCCTTTTTCCCTCCCTCCCTCCCTCTCTTTCCCCTCCCTCCCTGCCAACCATTACCTGGGGGGGGACAGCGAGACAGGAAGCCTCACACCAGGGCCACCATTACCACGCTGGCGACAATACCAACCAACCCATGTGGAACGTGGTGGCCGAGGGGACGACCTCCCTTCCTCATTATGAGGGGACAAAGTGGTCCAGGTGAGGGGAGAACCCCCACACCACCCACATTTGAGGGGGAACCTCACCACTCACATATGAGGGGGAAACCCAGCACCTACATATGAGGGGGAACTCCACCACTCACATATGAGGGGGAACTCCACCACTCATATGAGGGGGAACTCCACCACTCACATATGAGGGGGAACTCCACCACTCACATATGAGGGTTAACTCCACCACTCACATATGAGGGGGAACTCCTCCACTCACATATGAGGGGGAACTCCACCACTCACATATGAGGGGGAACTCCACCACTCACATATGAGGTTAACTCCTCCACTCACATATGAGGGGGAACTCCTCCACTCACATATGAGGGGGAACTCCACCACTCACATATGAGGGGGAACTCCACCACTCACATATGAGGGGGAACTCCACCACTCACATATGAGGGTTAACTCCACCACTCACATATGAGGGGGAACTCCTCCACTCACATATGAGGGGGAACTCCACCACTCACATATGAGGGTTAACTCCACCACTCACATATGAGGGTTAACTCCACCACTCACATATGAGGGGGAACTCCTCCACTCACATATGAGGGGGAACTCCACCACTCACATATGAGGGGGAACTCCACCACTCACATATGAGGGGGAACTCCACCACTCACATATGAGGGGAAACTCCACCACTCACATATGAGGGGGAACTCCACCACTCACATATGAGGGGGAACTCCTCCACTCACATATGAGGGGGAAACCCAGCACCTACATATGAGGGGAAACTCCACCACCCAGACATGAGATAGAGCTGGTGAGTGTACACTGTTTGTGTAGAGGTAAACCAACAGAGGACTTTTGTTTGTTTTCTACCACAGACTTAGACATTCTCTAACAACGATAACCAGTATATATATATATATGTATATATATAAGTATATATATAAGTATATATATATAAGTATATATATATATAAGTATATAATCTGTTCTCCATGGACGGGGCTAGAGAAGAGATATACTTCTCCCGTTATATCGTTATAGAGAGATGTTGGAGATGCTGTTATTGTTGGAGAATGGAAACTGGCGACTCTAGGACCATTCCCAACCATACGAACGATATGGGGGACTCTAGGACCATTCCCAACCACACGAACGATATGGGGGACTCAAGGACCATTCCCAACCATACGAACGATATGGGGGACTCTAGGACCATTCCCAACCATACGAACGATATGGGGGACTCTAGGACCATTCCCAACCATACGAACGATATGGAGGGACTCTAGGACCATTCCCAACCATACGAACGATAGAGGGGACTCTAGGACCATTCTCAACCATACGAACGATATGGGGGACTCTAGGACCATTCCCAACCACACGAACGATATGGGGGACTCTAGGACCATTCCCAACCATACGAACGATATAGGGGACTCTAGGACCATTCCCAACCATACGAACGATATGGGGGACTCTAGGACCATTCCCAACCATACGAACGATATGGGGGACTCTAGGACCATTCCCAACCATACGAACGATATGGGGGGACTCTAGGACCATTCCCAACCATACGAACGATATGGGGGACTCTAGGACCATTCCCAACCATACGAACGATATGGGGGACTCTAGGACCATTCCCGACCATACGAACGATATGGGGGACTCTAGGACCATTCCCAACCATACGAACGATATGGGGGACTCAAAGACCATTCCCAACCATACGAACGATATGGGGGGGGGGCCTAGATCGAAGAAAGGGGGCATTTAATGTCGTCTCTTCTTACCTCTCAATCCTCCCCTCTCCCACCTCGTCCCCCCCTTCATCTTAAGGTGTCTCTTGGCACATCTTGCGTAGTTTCTTGTTTCCACTTAGCGCGGCGGGTATGCGTAATCTTGATACAATGAGGAGCCTGTAACGTAATCACCCCGCAGCCTGGTTGAGGCCAGTCACCGCTGATTGGATTTGGGGTCATGCTTTGCTAGAGAGGAGGAGGAGGGAGTGGATGGATGAGTGTGTTGGTGAGAAGATGAGGTGAAGATGGGGATCGATTTCCGGACCCTTAGGACTACGAATCCCGGGCGCTGTCCACTCAGCCGTCAGGCCCCCCAGCTTGGGCGCTTGGAAGTTTGGTGTTGAAGGCTGCCGGATTAATCAGGGTATTTACTAAGGCATACGGGAGGTTATCTTGAGGTTATCTTGAGGTGATTTCGGGGCTTAGCGTCCCCGCGGCCCGGTCCTCGACCAGGCCTCCAGGTTTCTAATGGTTTCATAGTAGTGAAAGGTCACAGTGAACTATGGTACTGTTATGGTGTGGTGGTGATGTAGTGGTATACAGTGTGGTGTGGTGGTGATGTAGTGGTATACAGTGTGGTGTGGTGGTGATGTAGTGGTATACAGTGTGGTGTGGTGGTGATGTAGTGGTATACAGTGTGGTGTGGTGGTGGAGCCACAGTAGTGATGGTGTGGTGTGAGGGAGAGTGAAGGGTACTTATCACCATCACTCCTCTTTGACACACTCTTGACGTAACGAGGTGGTTCTCGAGTACTCCCTCCCCCACACTCTCCCCTCTCTCCCACACTCTCCCCTCCCTCCCTGCCTCTCCCCCTTCGCCTCCACCATAGTCCTCTCTACCCACTTCATCTCCAACACCCCATTTCCCTCCCTCCTTACTCCACTTCTCCACCTTTTCCGACTTTGTTGGAGAACTCACTGGCTCTCTGTTCCTAGGTCTCTTGGTTCGATTAACCGGATGGTGGAGGAGAGGGGGGATAGGGAATGGCTCGTCTTATCTGGTCAAGGGATAGAAGACAGACTAAGAGTGTTCCCTTTCTCTTGGCGCGTGACTTGTTATCATAAAACTTAACTCAGAGGGTAGATAAGCGTGTGTGTGTGTTGGGGGGAGGGAAGGGGGTAGTTAGAAAATGAATGGATAGACAAATGTGGTTTGTGGTGGATAGATAGTGGATTGATAGTAGATTAATAACATCCACGCCCTCTACCCCCACCCTCCTCCCTTTCGGGGACACTAAAAAGCCCCGAAATCATCTCAAGATAACCTCAAGATAGAAGATAACCCTCGAGCACTTGGGTACTGTGCCCCCGCCCCCCCCCTCACTCCCTCTGACACACTTAAAGTGGGAAAGTAATCAAGGTGTGTGTGTGTGTGTGTGTTGTGTGTGTGTGTGTGTGTGTGTGTGTGTGTGTGTGTGTGTGTGTGTGTGTGTGTGTGTGTGTCACGGGGGAGACATCTCCCGTCACGCAGGGTGCAGTCGCACCTCCACAGATCTCCGGTATCATCTATTGATACTGGTAATGGCTCAAAAGGGCCACCACTTACGGGCTATTCATGCCCGTGCCACCTTTTGGGTGGCTTAATCTTCATCAATCAATCAATCAAGGTTGGTGTTTATTGTGCGTCATCCCTTGGTGTGGACAGCGGGGGTCTCCCGTCTCATTCCTCTCCGTCTCCTATACCGTCTAAGGGCCAGAGCCCCCGTCACCCAATAGGCTGGAAGAGCTCGGTATCTGGAACTTTTCGAACGGGGGGAAGACACGCGAACGCCCCCCCCCCTTCCCGGCCAGTTCTTCCTTCCCTTCCTACGCGTTTACTCAACCCGTGAACAAATCCACAAGGGCCGTGACGAGGGTTCGAACCTACGTCCGAGAGCATCCCAGACGCTGCCTTAATCGACTGAGCCCGTCTTCAGTCTACCTTCCTGAGTGATGGAAGGTAGTTGGATAGGCCTATGACGTCATGATTGGTGAAGATTAAGCCACCCAAGAGGTGGCACGGGCATGAATAACCCGTAAGATGATATGATGTGGTGAGTGACTAGTTACTGAGCCATGTGGGTCCCTAGGGGGGCATGATAACGTGTGAACTCATCACTGATTCATGTCGTTCATGGTCGTCTTTACTCACACGACCAAGTGTGAGTAAACTCAAACTTTACTCGGGTTTTACTCACGAGTAAAGAGAGGTAGGATCCTAACCTCTCCGGTTAGGCCAGTCGGAGCCTGTTAGGAGCCGGTCGGCCGAGCGGACAGCACACTGGGCTTGTGATCCTGTGGTCCTGGGTTCGATCCCAAGCGCCGGCGAGAAACAATAGGCAGAGTTTCTTTCACCCTATGCCCCTATTACCTAGCAGTAAAATAGGTACCTGGGTGTTAGTCAGCTGTCACGGGCTGCTTCTTGGGGGTGGAGGCCTTGTCGAGGACCGGACCGCGGGGACACTAAAAAGCCCCGCAGTTTCTTTCCCCTGTCACCAAACCTCCAGTCTCACTTTCCCACCCCTTTCCCCTCCCTTCCTCCTAATCATCCGTGTCCTAATCCCCCTCCTCTTCCATCATTCCCTCATCGTTATCATAATGCGTGGGTTCCCCATCTATCTCTTTCTCCTCTATCTCTCTCTCTTTTTTCCGTCATTTTTTACATTTTCTGTGACATGTTGAATAATTGGCCGCGTTTTCTGCGTCATGTCTTCCGTTTTCTTTGGTCGTTCTTACATCATTTTCCTGCTGTTCCTCCAGCCTGGGTTGTTCCTCCTCCCAAGACACTATAGACGCGAGAATAGCCATTAAGATCAGGGCAAGCCAGGAGAGGGACTAAATTCTAACCTTCCTGACCCATTCATACCCCCCTACCATATCTCTTCCCCCTCCCCCACACCCTTTCTCTTACTACTATCCCCTGAAGACATTAATGTCCTTAACCAAGTCAGCGGCGGCCCCCCCCCCCTGTCCCACCGCCGCTCCAGCAATATCAGGGCGGTAGAACATCCCTTTCCCTTCCATTCCTCCCGTTCCCTCCATCTTCCCCCTTCCATTTACCTCTTCAGTCTCCCCGTTTCTTGCCGAGCAAAAGATTGAATGTTTGACTATCGTGTCCTCATCTAATGTTGGGAAGTGGAGGGAGGGACTTTGTTTACTCCGGACGGGGATAATTCAATTAATCTCCGCTTGGGGGCTCTGCTTCTCCTCCTTTTCTGCCTCTTCTCCTGCCCCTTCTCATTCTTTTCCATCATCTTCCCCCCCTTTTTACATGCCTCTCTTCTCCTATCCCAAGCATGCCTTGGTACTTTGTCCTCAATGCGCCTCTCTTCTCCTATCCCAAGCATGCCTTGGTACTGTGTCCTCAATGCGCCTCTCTTCTCCTATCCCAAGCATGCCTTGGTACTGTGTCCTCAATGCGCCTCTCTTCTCCTATCCCAAGCATGCCTTGGTACTGTGTCCTCAATACGCCTCTCTTCTCCTATCCCAAGCATGCCTTGGTACTTTGTCCTCAATGCGCCTCGCGTCATATCCGGTATTTGCATTCTCTGATATGGCGGGTCGTGGCCCTAATGCTATACATGTACGGTCTCTTGCCATGTGTAGCTTTGTGTGTGTGTGTTGTGTATTCCTGAGTGTGTGTGTATGTAGCCTCGGGTACTGTGTATTGAGCATTGGCGCGCCCCCTTGCTCAGGTCCTCCGGCTCAGGTCCTCCAGGTTATTCATATGAATCTTGGGGTGGCTGGCGTCATTCATGTGAATCTTTCGGTGGCTGGCGTCATTCATGTGAATCTTTCGGTGGCTGGCGTCATTCATGTGAATCTTGGGGTGGCTGGCGTCATTCATTGAATCTTGGGGTGGTGGCGTCATTCATGTGAATCTTGGGGTGGCTGGCGTCATTCATATGAATCTTGGGGTGGCTGGCGTCATTCATGTGAATCTTGGGGTGGCTGGCGTCATTCATTTGAATCTTGGGGTGGCTGGCGTCATTCATGTGAATCTTGGGGTGGCTGGCGTCATTCATGTGAATCTTGGGGTGGCTGGCGCCATTCATGTGAATCTTGGGGTGGCTGGCGTCATTCATGTGAATCTTGGGGTGGCTGGCGTCATTCATATGAATCTTGGGGTGGCTGGCGTCATTCATGTGAATCTTGGGGTGGCTGGCGTCATTCATGTGAATCTTGGGGTGGCTGGCGTCATTCATGTGAATCTTGGGGTGGCTGGCGTCATTCATGTGAATCTTGGGGTGGCTGGCGTCATTCATGTGAATCTTGGGGTGGCTGGCGTCATTCATGTGAATCTTGGGGTGGCTGGCGTCATTCATGTGAATCTTGGGGTGGCTGGCGTCATTCATGTGAATCTTGGGGTGGCTGGCGTCATTCATATGAATCTTGGGGTGGCTGGCGTCATTCATGTGAATCTTGGGGTGGCTGGCGTCATTCATGTGAATCTTGGGGTGGCTGGCGTCATTCATATGAATCTTGGGGTGGCTGGCGTCATTCATATGAATCTTGGGGTGGCTGGCGTCATTCATGTGAATCTTGGGGTGGCTGGCGCCATTCATGTGAATCTTGGGGTGGCTGGCGCCATTCATGTGAATCTTGGGGTGGCTGGCGCCATTCATGTGAATCTTATGCTGTATTGCTGTTGTCTGGGTAGGCTGGTGGCGGCGTCTCAGACCAGAGGTATAACGGGATATAAGGATCATACTAGTGCCCAACTGTTTGGTAGTGGTGAGTATGCTGTATACGTGTCTGGTACCGGTCCAGGATATGAAGGTACTGATACCTAGTACTTGTATTTACCAAAGCAGATTCTCTGTCGAATCTGTAATTTGAAGTTGTCGATGGAGGTGGCTTCCACAACTTAGTTTTTTCTAATGCGTTTAGTGGAGCTGGTAAATTGACAATCACATAAATGTGAAAATCAGCATTTCGTTCATTTGCACTTCTGCCTCATGCGTTTGGGGATGGCGGTTCGAGCCTCCTAGTGCTCAAGTGAATGAAATAAATAAATATATATGTATATAATATATGTAATAAATATATAGATTGATAATATATTTTGTGTCAGCTACAAGTTATTGGGTCTCTCGTGTGTGAGTGTAATTACCTAAGTGTAGTTACAGGATGAGAGCTACGCTCGTGGTGTCCCGTCTTCCCAGCACTCTTTGTCATATAACGCTTTGACGCCTCGCCTGTGTGTGTGTGTGTGTGTGTGTATGTGTGTGTGTGTGTGTGTGTGTGTGTGTGTGTGTGGCACCCATAAGGTCCGCCAACACAGGCACGCTGCCCATTCATAATACTAGCTGGTTCCCGAGTATGTTTACGACTATGCTTAGGTTTGTGAATCTGGGGTCCCCCCATGAATGGGGTCCATTCATGGTGTGGAATGCGCTTATAATTCAAGCCGGCGGCTTGTTATACAAGCTTGGAGACCGACTTTGGAACGTTGTCTCATGTTGGGGGCGGATGCTTGTGGTAGTTAAAATATTATTTCAAAAGTTGGAGGCGGATGGTTATGGTAGTTGGGTAGTTAGGATGGGCGGGCGGATGTTTTTTGATAGGTTGCGGTAGTTAGGTTAATTTGGTGTTACAGCAATTATTGTTTTGTGGGAATGTTTTATGTTTGTGCGCTGTATGTAATATATATGTAACAACGGGCGTGTTCGTAACACCCATGTATTCACCTAGTTGTGCTTGTGGGGGTTGAGTGCGTGTGCGTGCGTGTTCACACACACACACACACACACACACACACACACACACACACACACACACACACACACACACACACACACACACACACACCCACACACACACACCTAGCCCCGTCGGTAGTTTAGCCTCGTAGCCTGGTGGATAGCGCGCAGGATCCGTAATTCTGTGGCGCGGGTTCGATTCCCGCACGAGGCAGAAACAAATGGGCAAAGTTTCTTTCACCCTGAATGCCCCTGTTACCTAGCAGTAAATAGGTACCTGGGAGTTAGTCAGCTGTCACGGGCTGCTTCCTGGGGTGTGTGTGTGGCGTGGAAAAAAAAAAAAAAAAAAAAGTAGTTAGTAAACAGTTGATTGACAGTTGAGAGGCGGGCCGAAAGAGCAAAGCTCAACCCCCGTAAAAACACAACTAGTAAACACAACTAGTAAACACACACACACCCACACCCACCCCGTCAGTAGTTTTAAAGCATTATATGACAAAGAGTGCTGGGAAGACGGGACACCACGAGCGTAGCTCTCATCCTGTAACTACGCTTAGGTAATTACACTAAGGTAATTACACTTAGGTAATTACACACACCAGCCCGTCCTCATAAACAAAGGCCAAAAGTCCATTCCATGCACGCCCACGTTTGCTGTGGGTTCCTGAGTGTGGGTCACCCTTGCCCTGCCCTGCCCTGCCCTGCCTTGCCCTGCTCTGCCCTGCCCTGCCTTGCCCTGCCCTGCCTTGCCCTGCCCTGCCTTGCCCTGCCCTGCCTTGCCCTGCCCTGCCTTGCCCTGCCCTGCCCTGCCTTGCCCTGCCCTGCCCTGCCTTGCCCTGGTGATATATATTTCTTGCGTTCTTGGTGGTACATATAACTTGCGCGTTTATGTAAATATATCCACGTTATGTTATTGCCCTTACTGGAGAGCGCGGCTTTTTCGGTCTTAGTATCTTGTATGTCTAGAATATGTCTCCTCTCTCCCCCCCCACACTTTTTTCAAGTTATGCGAGGGGGGGGGGGGTGTCTCTAAGTCTATCCTCATACCCCGGGGAGGGGGGGGGGAGGGAAAATAGATTAGCTATATCATTCGCATGAGGAATTTCTGGATTTACCTGAAACGCTTAGGTTTGTTTCACAGTTTTGGATCAACTTGCCTATGGTTGATCCGACATATTGATGTATGTCGGCTGATTGGCAGGGGGGAATCTCTACCCCATCCCCCCAGTTTTTGGCTGTGTTCTTTGATCTCTCTTTATTGCATCCATCTCCATTACTTTGCATTTTTGGGGGGTTGAAATCAAATAGCCACTCAGTGGACCATTGCAGCTGTTATTCAAATTTCTTGTAACGATATGCAGTCATTCGACACTTTTTTTTTGGGGGGGGTGGTACTATTAGCTTAGCGTTATCTGTTCCGGCGTGTGCGCGCGCGCACGCGAGTGCATGCATTCACAAAGGGACCAAAGAGCCAAAGCTCAACCCCCGCAAGCACAATTAGGTGAGTACAGTTTGTTCTCGTGGTTCACAGCGAACAAGTTCACCGTAAAGTTCATTTAAAACAGAAGTAGTGTACCTGGATTGTACCTGGATTGGGTTCTGGGTTCTACTCCCCCAAGCCCGGCCCGGGGCCAGGCTTGACTTGAGTACCTACCTACCTTGAGGTTACCATGAGGTGCTTCCGGGGCTTAGCGTCCCCGCGGCCCGGTCGTCGACCAGGCCTCCTGGTTGCTGGACTGATCAACCAGGCTGTTGGACGCGGCTGCTCGCAGCCTGACGTACGAGTCACAGCCTGGTTGATCAGGTATCCTTTGGAGGTGTTTATCCAGTTCTCTCTTGAACACTGTGAGGGGTCGGCAGTTATGCCCCTATGTGTAGCGGAAGCGAGTTGAACAGTCTCGGCCTCTGATTGTTGATAGAGTTCTCTCTCAGAGTACCTGTTGCACCTCCGCTTTTTAATGGGGGTATTCTGCACATCCTGCCATGTCTTCTGGTCTCATGTGGTGTTATTTCTGTGTGCAGGTTTGGGACCAGCCCCTCTAATATTTTCCACGTGTAAATTATTATGTATCTCTCCCGCCTGCGCTCAAGGGAGTACAGATTTAGGCTTCTTTAGGTTTAGTCGGTCCCGAGTATACTTTAAGTGGCTGATCAAGTTGTTTAAAGATGGTGTGAGCTGAATATATGTGTGCGTTGCTTAGACGTACATGTGTGTGGAGTGTGGGAGGGTGTGTGTGTGTAGCGTGGGTGATACGGGCGTCTGACTCCCACAGCTGACTGTCAGGGCGTTATCTCCCACAGTTCTGCCTCTCCCACACGTCACCTCCTATATATATATCTCTCCCATGGCAAGATAATTACTAACGTTGTAATGTTAGTCACATTCTTCTCGAATGGGATCGCAATTTGGTGTAGTAATTTGAGTTTACGTGTGGAAGTAGACCCATTTTGCCCCCCCTCCCCCAACCCCCCACCCCCAACCCCCAACCCCCCATCCCCCAACCCCTATCCCCCCCCCCACCCCCCACCCCCTCCCCCAACCCCCATCCCCCAACCCCTATCCCCCAACCCCCACCCCCCCTATCAGTTGTGTGTGGAAGGTACCCGCATTTCCCAACGCTTTAGGTCACTCTTCCACGACTCTTCTCTCTATCTCTTGCATGTGTGTTGGGGGAGAGAGAGGGAGTACAAAGGATAGGCGACAGACTAAGTGTGCGTCGTCCTCCGGGGGATGAGTATCGACAGCACAGCAACTGTTAGAGGGGGGGGTAGTGGGGATCTAGTATAGTTAATCTCTTTATGCTTAGTTTATTATATGAGCCAGGGGGGGGGGGTGGGGGGAAAGGGGGGGGGTGAAGGGGGGGGGGTTATATAGCTTCCGTTTGGGTCCTTAAACGGCTTCCGTCTGTCGTGCATTGTGTCTGCTGTTCCTGATCCCCCGCTCTCTGTCTCTCTCTGTCTCTCTCTCTCTTGTCTCTCTCTCTCTCTGTCTCTCTCTCTCTCTGTCTCTCTCTCTCTCTCTCTCTCTCTCTCTCTCTCTCTCTCTCTCTCTCTCTCTCTCTCTCTCTCCTCTCTCTCTCTTCTCTCTCTCTTCTCTCTCTCTCTCACTCTCTTTCTCTCTTCTCTCTCTCTCTCTCTCTCTCTCTCTCTCTCTCTCCTCTCTCTCTCTCTCTCTCTCTCTCTCTCTCGCTCTCTCTCTCTCTTCTCTCTCTCTCCTGTCTCTCTCTCTCTCTCTCTTCTCTCTTTCTCTCTCTCTCTCTCTCCCTCTCTCTCTCTCTCTCTCCTATCTCTCCTCATCTCTTCTCTCTCTCTCTCTCTCTCTTCTCTCTCTCTCTCTCTCTCACTGTCTCTCTCTCTCTCTCTCTCACCTCTCTCTTTCTTTACTCTCTCTCTCTCTCTCACTGTCTCTCTCTCTCTCACTCTCTCTTTCTTTGTCTCTCTCTCTCTCTCTCTCTCTCTCTCTCTCTCTCTCTCTCTCTCTCTCTCTCTCTCTCTCTCTCTCTCTCTCTCTCTCTCTCTCTCTGTCTCCTCTTTGTCTGTCTCTCTCACTCTTTTTTCCGTGTGGGTCATACACTGTTAAATACCGTTGCCTTTTCTGTGACTTTTCTTCAAAAAGAAAATGAAGAGGTGGTTGTGCACACAGACATATGTACACAGGGGCTCGCTCACATAAGCTCTCACACACAAAAGCACACACCTTAGCACCTGTCGGTTTAACCCTCCCTTTGTTGGCTTACTATTCATGCTTGGGAGAGGTTTATTCAAGTGTGTGTGTTTTGTGTGTGTGGAGGGGGGGGGGGGGAAGGTTTGCTTGTTGTGTGTGTGGGGGGGAGGTTGCTTGTGTGTGTGTACTTTTCTAGTGTGCTTGCGGGGGTTGAGCTCTGGCTCTTTGGTCCCGCCTCTCAACTGTCAATCAACTGGTGTACAGGTTCCTGAGCCTACTGGGCTCTGTCATATCTACACTTGAAACTGTGTATGGAGTCAGCCTCCACCACATCACTGCCTAA